TAGTAGTAGTAGTATTAATATTATTATTAGTATTAGTATTAATATTATTATTACACTTTCGCCCCCCCAGGCCCTGATGTGGTTAAGTGATCTGTGCCCGGGTGGGCTAATCCCCGCAAAAAAAATAAATAAATAAAAAAATATATATATATATGTGTGTTTTTGGGCAACACGCGCTGATCTTACTGGTAAAACTTTTCACTTTTATTTGCATCAATCGTGGGTAAAATTTTCACACTCGGTGAATAAAAGGGACGTCTTTCTTTGCATCAAGCTGTTAATTACTAATTGTTAATATAAATTAATGAACACAATTTGAGGCTATAACATGGTAGCTTCAGCTCACAGTACTGCCAACATACCGTAGTTGACACACGTTGACACAGGTGATAATTTCACACACATCGTAACAAATTATATAAACACACACTGAAGTAACATAATATTCGGGTTAGGTGCTGTGCATTTTATTTCATCTTAAGCAAGAACCTATCATTACGTTCTTAAAAATGCTAATGACTTAAAGGTGCCGCGAAGCAGTTACTTCTTGCTACAATGGCAGACACCTTGCTAGAGGTAAGGACAATGAACCATAAGGTAGCTGAAAACAATAAAATAAATCTTCTCCCCCATCAGGCCCCATGTGGCCAGGACGTGTGCTCCGTACATGTAACTCGTCAGTAATATAACTTCACTGGCTTAAGACGATCCCGTGTTAGAATGTGTGCTTACACCAAGGTGAGTGCCCTCCCTGCTTGTGGGTATTTATCTACAACGGACTCGTGGGTACTCTGACTTATCGTCAATCAAAAAGCCATCACAGACCATAAAAAGTTCCGTCACATATACGTCTTCGGTACTGGGAAAGTGAAAGCAGTTGATGGAAGAGATAGTGAACATTTATGTAAACGTTCATGTGGATTCCTTCATGAGTGCAGCCCCCTCGTCAAAGAGAGCCTCCCGACCGGCGCCACTCTTCACAAGAGTCACCCACCCACTACACCTTCCTCCTGAATATCGTTCGTTCTTTTCGTACGTGCCACTTGTTATTTTTATTTAGGTTTGATTATTATACCTTAAATAAATTATGTAACTTTACCACCATAACTACTGCTTATATACACAATGATAAGCTAATTACGTTGAACCCTTATGGATGCGTGTGGTAAGTAGTAGTTAAAATTAAAATAATAAATGGTATAGTCGTTAAATGTCTCTTCGACCTTCAGAGAGAGGGAGAGAGACAGACAGAGGTGTTTACAAGATACAGACCCATATAAATTAGAGAGGTTTAGCTTCTGCGTGTTAATAGTTATAGTGGAGTGAGCGTGTGTGAGGCTGACCCCTGCCTCACCTCAACCGCTACTTAACATGCAGGTGCTGACATCAAGCTTCTGGTCTGGCCTACACAACCGTGATAAAATTTGTTTTGTTTTTTTACTAGTTGAGTGTTGCCATAAGATATGATTTGTTTATGTGGTGGTGGTGTGGTGTTAAGAGGTTGACGACACCATAGTTATACTGTAGTGAAAGCACTGTCACTACAGCACCGAGCCTGAAACACGCTCACACGATATGGTGTCCAGAACCTGTTCTCCTCCAGATATTCTGTAGCTGGAAACCACTTTATAAGCAGCAATTTCCTGCTGGGTAATTGATAATCTTCTGTTAAAATTAACAGTCTGTCAATATCTCCTGGGCAAATTAATACTGTTTATTTTTATCGATGTTGCCAGCACCAAAGGTTTTCTATTTGCAGGCTGACGATATAAGACGCCGATATGAAGCTGATGAGTAATATTCTGCCTCAACTCAAGACTTCCCTTTATATATATATATATATATATATATATATATATATATATATATATATATATATATATATATATATATATATATATATATATATATATATGTGTGTGTGTGAACACAAGTGCTGCAGTTTATGCAAGTTAATGGTTTTGTCCCATGGATATAGCGAACCTCATATAATCAAGCATTATGCCAACATTGCTTAATAATAATATACAGTATATTGGTATTAACAGTGTTAAAATGTATTCTAGAAGGTGAATTACAAAATATTTCATCGACATATTTTTGGTTTATCTAAATACTTCAACCGACACATATATAAACAATGCTCACTAAGCTTAGTTACTACACAGTAAAAATTTCGAAAAATCACATTTTGAGATTTTTAACGAAACAAAATCACAAATAAAACAGGATCGACTTTTTCACAATTAAACACAATTTGATAAAACAAAACAGTCATTACGTTACCATATCCACACCTTAGTAATAAAGAAGTAAAAGTTCCACCAAAGAGCAGTGTGGATACAGCACACTGCACACTACATTCACACTCACAAGTTACGTATCAGTGATGGAGGGATAAAAATAATGTTCAACTAGTGTGAGTATCCTGACTCAGCACTTTGCCTCATATGGATGTACCAACCCCATCCCGATACAATACTAATAACAAACACGTAGATACCTTTACCCTGACACAACATTCGGGCCATTTGTTTTTGTTATATTTCAACTTTCGAACTTTTGAACTGATAACTGGGTGAACTGCGAGCCTTGGGACACGAGACGAGAGCTGCATCCACTCAGTCGCTATTATAAGTCTCAATAATATCAACAAAGGTTCAATCTAATGACTAATTTATGTTAGAAGTATCTTCAACTGGTCATCAATTGTCACTATCACTGGTAACACAAGATCAAGTTCTATCAAACTCTCGCTGGTTATCAGTAACTGTCAAAAACAAGCATCATCATATGTAATTATTTCATTATGTGCAATTACGTCTTACTCTGCCTTAATCGCTTGTCCGTTAAGCAATTTTTCAGAGGAGATAAGCTTCCCTTTTTATCGCTGCCAAAATTCTACCATTAGTAAAATTGCTTGTCGATTGAGTATTGCCGGGTATTCAGCCATGCAATATTAGTGTGGTCAAGCGGTCAATTATAGTACTTTGTTGTTATCTTTATCACGTAAGTACTTGTATTGTGCTGCCAACTCTGAGATTAATCACGCTGAAGGTTGGTGTTAGTTTTTTATTACAACCCGCTGTCGGTCCCTCTGGCGCGAGGCTATTACTGACGCCGGGCCATACTCTCCATCTTTATCACCTCTAGTTTGCTTACTAATACATCCTTGAAATATCGTCATATATTCAGTCAGGTCCACAATAATGCGCAGCAGGTGACCATCTGGTGCCATAACCTCTTGCTAGTGTCAGTCATATACAGTATATCCCACATTCTTGGTCTTTAAAACACATTTTATTGTACCCGGTACCTAAAGCAGTTGTTGTATATTACTTGGGGAATATCATCAAAAACGTATTAATCTTGGAACATGAATAGTTAAATAAATTACAAAAAACCGCACATTATATCAGGATTTTCACAAACACTTGCTGGAGATGTGCCGTGTGGACACTGATCACTGATAGTGTTCAGTGTGTTGTTGTGAATCGTTGTGCCAGTACATGTCTCAACCCCGTGATGGTGACTGTTGACTGCGAGAACTTTACTTCTTCTAATTTCAACAGCTGTTTACCCAAGAAACCGATGTCCTGTGCTTTAAGACTTAACCCACTGTAGCACGTCTCTACATTGTAACAATAACACACTGTATTGACACTAGTAGTGGCCATCATATTTCGTGTTCGTGGTTTTCAAGATGGATACGGACTCGTGTATGTGTGTGACCTTCATGTACGATGTATGCGAAAGGCAAAATTGAAACAGCTGTGGCCGCGAGATAGTCACACTTGAATAAAAATAAAATGAAATTGTGCTTACACGACAATACCCCGTGGCGGCAATAAAGTGCGATACTACAACCTATAGAGAAAAAGTGTTAACATACCAAAATATAAATCAATGTTAATTTTGGAACAAAGTCCCATTAGGTATATACAGTACCGGTGCTTATTTTTCGGATAATATAGACATAATTCTTCAGTCCCACCAGCTGTCACCCTAAGTTACCTAGTGCAAGAATCATTTAAGAGACACTAAAATACGGGGGAGTATTACCATACCCTTGTGAAGGAAATGTGCTGTAAAGTCCAGGACCACTGACCACACTCACAATTTACATACCAGTGATGGTGGAATAAAAAGGTTCACGAAAGAATGAACCATCCTGCCTCAATGTTAGCCTCACACAGATGTACAAACCCCGTATAGTACTGAGTGTAACACTAATGACAAACACGCGGATCTCTACACCCTGAGCAGCCAGACAAAATATAATGTACCACAATCTTAACTCAATACTGTACTGAAGTATGTGATCCCGGTCCTGGCTGGTGATACTTCATGAAGCAAGGATCATATAGATGATTCCTGCCTCGACTGACCACTCATACTATATAAGGGACAAATGTTCTAGGCCAAATAATCCCGTAATTTCCAGAATTTACAACTCAAATCATCCTCATTATCAGAGGAATAATGGCTGAGGAGAATCTCCAAGAATACCAACAAAAGAATCCAACAACAAAACATGGATTGATTTAAAAGAAAAACTGAAAATTTTCTCATTAAGTTGTAAGAGAATTATTGAGGCATGATGATGTATTGGTCAGTCAGTTCCTCGTCCAGTACGTGACAGGCAAGCAGCCAAGGATCAGATGAACAATCAAATGGTGGACCCTCAATCTGGACACCCTTTAGTCACCTTTTATTAGAATCTTATAGTATTCCAGCAAACCTCAATAAACTAAAGAATGAGACCTGCGATGCCAATATTAATACCATAAAAAATCTCGGATATAGAAATCTCAGGTCAGGATGTCAGTAACAGGGAAAGCACCGGGTAGTGGGGGGAGGGGAGGGGAAGAGGAGGAGGGTACTGAGACTTGCTCCTGTGTGTGAGCCAGGTGGGATTATTGAAGTGAGAGGAAAGGGAGGGAAGGGGAGGGACTATCGATGAAGGACACATGCGGGTCCTTTCTGAGGTGAGGAGGAGATATAGTATAAAAGGAGGGAAGCACTCGAGTGAACAGTACACTCACTCCACCATGAAGCTCCTGGTGAGTTGTCTCTCCTCTTCTCTTGAGTGTGACCATCAGGACGAGCCAGTGTTAAGCTCCACAAACTCGAACAGTTACTCGGGATGTTGAAATGTGATGTTAGAGTGTGAGGCGACTAAGTGATGAAGTGTTCTCCACCAGCCAGTCGTTAGAGGATTAACTCGTGTACAGAGGAAAGAACTCCCAGAAATAAGGTTTAGGCAAATAATTCATGGTGACGTTCCAGATGTTGTGTGCATTGTAACTGCACGACGAAGACAATAGCTAACTTTGTTATAGATCCAGATGACATTAGACTGTACCTACATTATATTGCGCGTTAACATCCAGTGGACTAAAACTTCAACTGTTGTATCAGCTGTGGAAACATGAGTAGTGACTGAGATATATTAGCATTTATAGTATCAACAGTAGTGAATAAGACCTGTGTAAACTTCGGGACAATATTAGGTTAGGGTTTAACTTTTTGACTATTGTATACAAGTCTGTTAGTTTGTAGGTCCAGATTTTAATCCATTTTGAAATAGGATAACCACTACGCATGGAACAACAAGTGTTGTCAATATACTGTGCAAGGTAGTAAAATTTACTGATAAGTTTTCCTTATTCCACAGATACTGGCGGGTATGTTGGCAGCGGCCACGGCCGGCTCACTTCAGAGCTACAGCTTACCAACACCCTTTGGCTCTGGCTTCTCCACCGGCAGCTCATCTACCAGTTTCGGATCCTCCCTTGGTGGCACAGGATTTTTTGGGGGATCAGGGTTTTCTGGAAGTTCAGGGTTCTCTGGAGGTTTAGGGATCTCTGGAGGTTCAGGGTTCTCTGGAGGTTCAGGGATCTCTGGGGGCTCAGGGTTCTCTGGGGGCCCCGGCCCGTTTGACAGCAGCTGCGGAGGAGGGCAGGTTCGTCATGTGGACGGCAGCTGCGTGACTCCTCAGGTCACCCGAAACTTGTTCCGGTACAGAGTTCCTCCAGCAACCCCGATCTTGGGTGCACGACCAAACGTTCCTCCACCAAGAGTTGAGGACAATATACTCTTCATCGAATTTCCAGAAGAACTCTTCAACCAAGAACCCATTGTGGTACCACCACCACAACAAAGAAACGTTGTGTACGTCCTCAACAAGCGGCCTCACCAAGATCACACGGTTGTCCACGCACCGGGACCTGAACAAGCGGCTCCTGAGGTGTTCTTCGTCAACTATGCTGAGGGCGAGAACCCGACATTACCCAGTGGTGGAGACCTCCAGTCCGCCCTCAGCTCAGCCTCTGACGGTAGCGGCGAACTGGTCGGTAGCAGTGGTGGCAGCATTAGTACAAGTGGCCTTGTCAGCGGCGGTGGCAGCATTGGCGGTGTCAGTGGCAGTGTTAGTGGTGGTGGGAGCGGTGTATATGGTTTACCCTAAGAAGAAGTGTCCCCTTCTGACACCAGAAAATTAATGTTGTCTTCAAATTTGTTTCTCACTTACGGAGCATCGGTAAATGTTAACGCTTCGACCATATCTAGTGAAGATAATATAATGTTATTTATTAGAAAAAACAATGAATAAACATAATACCATGTAATTATTTCTTAATATCCTACGAGTAATGACACTAAGTAACCCAGAGTGAATAATAAGTTGTCGAAAATAGTTTAACGGATAGTTAATATTTATAAAATGAAAAAGTAACAAAGCAAATGAGAACAACTTAAACTTTTAATATTTGATACAGGTCTCAGAATTTGCTGAAAATGATTGTGGTGTCTTTTTTAATTATTTAAATTTCGCGTGAGTCATTGAAGGCGAACTTCTATGTATATAGAAATTTAATTTTATAAAAAATGAATGTCAGAACAAGTTATATATTGGATTAGCTAGCAAGGCAGGTTTCTCTTGTTAAAAGCGTACAATGTATTCCTTTGATTTTAAATTCAAGTTGTGAAGCAGATACATCTTCCTGAGGCAACATTAACTTACGTCCACCACACTGTTCGTTAATGAGGATGTCCTGTTACCTGCTGGGTGTTACCACAGTGATATTACCATTAATTACTGAATAAAATGAAAACCGGGAAGTTAAGTCATGTTACCAAATACAAACACAACCTTTCATATCTCAGTTAGTTCAATACAGTAACTGAGTGCTTTTTGGTGAACTAAGTCCTCTTCTTAACAAATCCCCGGGAAGTTTACGCCACTTGTATTTTGCTAACTGGTGTTTACCCAAGGCAATTATCTTAAAATTATTAACAGTGTCATTAACAGAGCGTAAATACATCACATTCTAGGGAATAATTAGTGTTTTTATATCATACATTTAACAAAAATTTTCAAGCAAAAATAAAGCGACCCAGCTCACAAAGTAGTACTCATTATGAATAAAGTTACAAATGAAAATAATGTGAATAATGATATCAACAAGAAATTTTGTTTATATTAAAAATCTAAAAGAAAATGTTCACCTCTTAATGGTGTTTAAACAAAGACAACTTGCGTCAGTTCGTTGTAAAAGCTCGCATCATATATCGTGTTTACGAGGCTGCTGATACGTGCGGGAAGCAGCAGGTCCCAGAGGACCTTCTGGCATCTTTCGATTTTAATTCTCATATCTTTACGTTCTTCACCAACGGACTCTAACAACCCCGATAATACTTTCTGATAATCAAATATCATAACAAAATAATTAAATTCATTGCATAATTCTGCCACCCACAGTTTATATAATATTAATGTATTTCCTTTGCTACTTGGGAATTTATTTATTTTTTAATAACAATTGATACATCACCCAACGACCTGAAAATCTGCACAAAAGTCATTTGAAAATTCGTACAAAACAACTTAAATATTAACCATAAAGAATTTTGAAACATGTGGCAGGTGTTTGCTCAGTCGCCATCAACAACGGTACTCTTGACATCAAAGCCGCCGGTCACATCTTCCATATCTTCTCATTTATGAAAATAAATGGAATTATATTTTTATTCAAGCAAGGGTATATTCACTTTTACAACAGTTTGTGCAGCTGCAGCCCCTCACACCAAGTTGAGATGATTGGCTTAGTTATCGAACGCTGCCTCAGGTCTAGAGGCAGGAGCCACTTTTCTGTATACTACTGTATGTATGTACAATGTTTCTTGCTCCAATGTGACAATAAATTATATGAATGGGTAACACCTAACGGGATGAAATGATCTTAACTCTCCGATCTTCCCACTGAATGATAAGTGAAAGTAAATATTTTCCAAAATTAGTTTGTTTCACTTGTCACCACAATATCACCTTCAATATCCTGACTACGGTCACATGATTCTTATTAAATCAATACGTTTACTTCCTTCACATTAATTAAATTATGCGCAGTAGGCAGAATAAGCTTAATTTTGTCCAATATTGTACGAAAAACTTGCAACTTCGTTTCCAAAAGTCTCATGAACAGGGTGCAGCCTACAAGCCGGTGAACTAAGTAAAGGTAAAATATCGAATATGGGAAGTGCACGACTGAAACTCCCTCAAGTGTATCCCTATAGCATTACCAGCAACACTGATATGTCAACTTCAACAAAACGTAATTTTTTTACGTTATGATTAGCTCTATGATCATCAACACGTCGAACACTGTACTGTACAAGGAATAAAAATACCTGACAAAATTGTCGTATTTCAATTTTATATTAAATCTCTTATAACTTGACACGTCCTCAGGCATCTGCGTGCTGCTACTTGGTTAAAAACAAAGGAAAGGAAAACTGAAGCATTATATTTGTATTGTTTCTTCAACAATGATATAAAGTGTAGAATTATCTTCACAGGCGTGACCTCGTTAGATATAATATATATTTACACAAGTACAAGAGCCTTTCTTATTGATGTCCTGGAAACTGGGTAATACAACCTTAAGAAGCATCTCTGCCTCTCACATCAAAGCATTACAACTTTCCTTTTTTCCAACACACTCCACGTGAAGCATATTCTTCGTAGCCTCAGAGGTGCCTTGTGTCTCCCATGAAAGGCTCCACAAATTCATTTGTTATGCAGATTACCAGCCGAGTGACAAGGTATTGTGTCCCTCCCATCTTGATACTCCGGTGACCTCTCATTTGTTATGCCAGTCATGTCTGTTGGGGTCAGAAGACACCACTAATGAACATCTGCTTTAGTGTATAGATATTGACCTCGTGTTCTCTCACCCCTTGTAATCCCTTCCTTTTATATCAACGATGCGATCCTCAGCCAAAACCTGCAGAAGGGAGTACAATATATCCCGCTACATATTATTTACTGGAGGTTGTAATGCATGGTTCAGTTTTGTGGTCAGCGAGTCGACACTGGCACTAAATTCAATGTTTGTACTTCCAATTTTTCATCATCACTCCTCACCTGACTACTCAAGCAGCTACTCCCCTAACAGAATTGAACATGCAAATATCTTTTTTTCTAAGGCATTGATGACATAAAATACTTTCAACCTGCTGAACATTTAAGTTAAGCCCTAAATTATCCGAGTGTATACGGGTCAACTGGATCTTGAAAATTTTTACTATAATTAAGCCCTGTGCTGAAAGAGGGTAGTGTGTGTGTGTGTGTGTGTGTGGAGGAGGGGGGGTTATTATGCTGTGTCCATCCTCCCAATGTTGTGTTTTGACTTGTCTGTATTTGTCCATAGTCGTCTGAGTTTTAGCAAAATTAATCATATATATTTGAAATTCCCTGTGAGTTAATATGAGAGCTTTTAATTTATAGAATTTAATTGCAAAGTCAATCTTTTTTTTTTATTTGAAATCAAATCCAGAGAAATTTAAAAGGAATACTGCAGCTAGTGTTTTCTCTTCCATAAAGTACCAGTAAGGTGGTGCTGTGCTGTAGTAAATATTCTCATTTACTATACTCATTAGAATAAAAACTAAATAAAATATTACATAAATGGTGTAAATGATGTCTGAAAATTAATTCAGAGTTTGTTGGTGGAGTAGTAGTGTGCTGTGTGGTGGTAACTTGAAATCCTCCTCCAGCGTGTGACAGACAGGTGACACTCATCAGGTGGACGCAGAACAGCTGTGATGTTAACAAACTCCACATTCCTCTTCCACTTTTATAATGGGTCAAGATGTCAGTAACAGAGAAAGCACCAGGTGATGGTGGTGGGTACTGACAAGTGATCCTGTGTGTGCACCATGTGAGATTACTCAAGTGAGAGGAAAGGGGGCGGGGAGGGGGTTAGGAACTTTCGATGGAGGACACATGCAAGTCCTTGGGAGTATATAAAGAGGGAAGGACTCAAGCGGACAGTACACTCCACCATGAAGCTCCTGGTGAGTTGTCTCTCCTCCTCTGAGTGAGACCATAAGGACGAGCCAGTGTTAAGCTCCACAAACCCGGGCAGTTACCCGGGATGTAGATATTTCATGTGTTGTTGAAGTGTGAGGCGACTTATTGATGAAGTGTTCTTCATCAACCAGTCGTCTGAGGAATAACTCTTGTGTTCAAAAAGAAAAGTTCAAAAATGAAATGTTGTACAAATACTGATAAAATGAGATTCAGGTGTTTTGTGTGACTAACACTGATGCAGGCTTGGGGTTACTTTGGTTAGATATAAGTGAAAGTTACAAAATAATTGACTTAGGATTTTTATATTCAGTTAGGAGTGATCAACACAGTGCGAATAGTCCATCATCACGAACGGGATACAACTCTGTGTCAGTAGCCACTGCGGAGAAAAGGTAGTGGTTTTACCGGGTGCTGATAAGGAGATTGTGGTATTACGAGCAACGGAAAATTACTTTTTTTTTAACATCAAACATATTTTTATCATGTTACAAGCCACATTTTTTTCCATAATCTACCTTTACTTGTTTCAATTTATTAAATAAGCAAATTATGGTATGATTTTATATTAATTATGAGACCCATATGTTATAGTGATATGATAATTCTAAGATTTACACAATATTTTCCACAGATTCTGACGTGTATGTTGGCAGCGGCCACCGCTGGATCACTTCAGGGTTATAGCCTGCCAACACTATCTAGCCCTAGCTTCTCTGGGGGCTCAGGGTTCTCTGGAAGCTCAAGGTTCCCTGGGGGTTCCGGGTTCTTTGGAGACTCAGGGTTTTCTGGGGGCTCAGTGTTCTCTGGAGGTTCAGGGATCTCTGGAGGTTCAGGGTTCTCTGGGGGCCCCGGCCCGTTTGACAGCAGCTGTGGAGGAGGGCAGGTTCGTCATGTGGACGGCAGCTGCGTGACTCCTCAGGTCACCCGAAACTTGTTCCGGTACAGAGTTCCTCCAGCAACCCCGATCTTGGGTGCACGACCAAACGTTCCTCCACCAAGAGTTGAGGACAATATACTCTTCATCGAATTTCCAGAAGAACTCCTCCACCAAGATCCTATTGTGGTACCACCACCACAACAAAGAAACGTTGTGTACGTCCTCAACAAACGGCCTCACCAAGATCACACGGTTGTCCACGCACCAGGACCTGAACAAGCGGCTCCTGAGGTGTTCTTCGTCAACTATGCTGAGGGCGAGAACCCGACATTACCTAGTGGTGGAGACCTCCAGTCCGCCCTCAGCTCAGCCTCTGA